CAACTTGAGGATGAGAAAATGGTTATATATATTTTTTGGGGCGAACTATCCCTTTAATATTACTGTTACACTATTTCAGTAACCCTTGGCTGGAAACATGTGAGACTGTACAGTCAGATGCCCATCCGGAAAAAACAACAACAAACAGAACCGTTTCAACAGCAACCAAGCTTTCATGCATGCTGGGATGAGAAAAGTATTGTGCGCAGGGCAATCTATCTGGTATCACTAAGATTTCCAAAAAAGGCGAGTCATAAAGTGATCCAATGCAGATGTAATGTAACACAGATGTATTGGAATCTATTGTGTCTTCGAGAAGTCATACTGAGACTTGAACAAATCGTGCATTCTTGCTGCATGAAGCAATATAAATTCAGCCGTGCACTGTATGATTCATAAGCAAATAAATCAAAGGAAAAGCACACTGTATCCCCTCAGTTTTTTCGTGACCCACAAACATTCATTCTCTGTGTCTCTGTGACATTAAACCAGCAATGTGTTTCTTTATAAGCCAACACAGAGTAATAGAAATGTCATTCAGGGCACAGTTGCTGGTGGCAGCGATGATATCATCCCTCGCTAATCCTGCTTCCTCTCAGCATGTCATTAAGAGCCGGTGGCTAGTGACCCCTCTGTGTCACTATTGACTGTCCACTCTGTGTTCACAGGAAGCTAATTGGCCTGATTCGGTTGAACAGACATGCTATCAGTCCCTTCCTGTTGGACATGTAACTGTACTAGAGATTAAGACCGGATGTTGTGTTCTTTCAGAGGTCTTTGTGGTGACCTGGAGAAAGACAGAATAGTGTAGTTACAGCATCTACCAGCAGAGGCTAACTGGACTATGAACCAGGCAAATCTTGAGCTCTATACATAATGATAAATATCCACCAAGAGCAGATCCTAATGTTTAAGCGTTCATGTGACAGTCTCTCACAGGAGCTGTGTTTTTTTCTTCAGCTTTTATCTTTTGGTCCATTTCATTCATTACAGACAGCTGTGTGAATTCATTCATGGGTTACCATGGATATGTCTGCCCCAAGGTTGATGATGTCAGGAATTTGCAGTGGTGCATTAGATGAGACATGCTTCCATCTGCTGGACAAACTGTGGTATATGATTAAATAAAGTCCATCTACAGTTGAAAGACATTGGAATCAATTATACAACAATGAAACAATGGAACCTTTGGAACTTATTAACATTTTAATAATAAAATAATCTATTGTAGATACAATAATCTATTATATCTATTGTAATCTTCAAAGTGTTTGTCACCAAAAATGTTAATGTAGTTTTACATGACCTTTTTGTTACTGTACCTTTAAGGTAATGCTGTCTTCAAGCTGAAACAATGTTACATTTTCCTGAAAAAACTGCCTATGATACAATTCATTGTCAGCTACTGTTACATTAATTTATTAATTTATAAATTAATTTAATTTAATTTAATAAATATATGTAAGTATGTATGTATGTATGTATATTCATTTCTAAGTCATGGAAAATTTTGTAAAAAGGCTTCTCCTAAACAAATACATGTACAAAAATCTATGGGTGCACAAAAGTTTTAATATCAAAGGAAATTTGAGAGGCAAGGGGGCATTACAAAAAAAACATTGCCCTTATGTCTGTATTTTTCTCTGAATCATGTCCAAAGTTAAATAGCAGATTTTTTTTCATAAAGTATTATACTTTATTATTCTATATAGTATTGTTGGATTATATTCATTGTGAATTATCCACTATGTTACCCTAGTAGAATCATGGAGCATTGTCATGTAAAACTCAATCTGTAGCAATATGGACATGCAATGAATGTTCAAAACTGATGTTCATTGAAACGGTCATAACTATTTACGATACATCGTTTAGGATACTGTGGCCTGCATATCTGTCACCACATGCAAACAACTCCACCGCAAACATGCCATAAATCATCTACAAATTATTTGAGCATGTTTGTGGGGCTTTTAGCATTAGTATAACGTTCTGTCGTTTCCTTTCTACTTAAGTTCACTGATTTCTTAGAGTCCCCACACGACCCCCTTTTGCTTGGGGGCCTCTAAACACCATCACAGCTTGTCCATATGGAAACTCTGACCGTTCCTGGCAAGTTCTAAGAGAAAACAGCAGTATTTCATTTCAGCTGATCACATTCGTTTTAGGGGAAATGGAATGGCATGAAACAGGAGGAATATGTTTGTTCCTATTTGATATGTTAATTTTCTTTTTAAATTACACTGATCCCCACTGATTGGAAAGAAGCATCCCCAGTGAACTGATAAGAATGTATAACATCATTCCTTATGTTTTAAGTTTCTGGGTTTGTCATCTAAACTTCAAAATATCCCAGTTACAGAATATAATATATCTTTAGAATATCATAAAAATATACCAATTATAGAGTATTACATACCCCTAACCCAAAATATCCCTGTTAAAGCATATTATATAGTTCCATATATTTTTATAGAATATAGAGTATTATATGTCTCTCTATATTTTTTTGTTATTCTAAATATCACATTATATTCTATTATATTCTATATAGCACTGAAATGTCAGTTAGTGCATGTGAGTTTCATGTGAGTTAATCGGTGTCTAATTGAGATTTTCTGAGAATAGAGGAGCATAGATAAGGAATGACTACAGATGTCATGCTTAAATGACAGAGATCTGAACCTTTCATTTTGTGTGGTAGACTGTGTTTCTGCTCCGTCAGAGTCTAAATTGATTGAACTCTCTCTTTCAGGGTCTGGACTCATGAATGTGGTCTACACATTGTTTCATAACCCCACTCTAATTTGGTCAAATCATTCCCTCACGAGACCATATCGCTAGACTACTAGCCATTTAAGATTATATTTTAAAATATATTACAATAGAAAACAGTTATTTCAATTGTAATAATATTTTGATATAATTTTTTATCAAATACAGTATATGCAGCCTCTGTAAGCATAAGCGACTTCTTTCAAAAACATTAAAAGAAAACATTATATTATATCAGTAATTAATTTATTGACAATTTTTTTGAGAGTCATACCCCTGAAGAGTTTTTGGTTTTAACTGTGAAAGAAATGTTCTATTTAGACATTTGTCCAGCTGTTCGGCATAGGGGGGTTGGTGACCATGCTTGAAAAAGCAAAAGACACAAACAGTAAAATTCCAGGCGAAAAGTTACGCAAATCACATCCGAACATCTTTAATGTATCACTGTGACCCTGTGAGTGGAGCTGCTGTCACCTTTCACCCAGATTATGATCAGAGCGGCTGTCAGTCGTCCTGTTCTGATGAGTTTATAAAGACTTGTTGAACGTGATCTATTGATTGGCAGTATTTTATTTGGCTGATGGCTGATGAGGGTGGAAGAATGATGTCTGCTGAAAAGGGGTCAAAGAGATCGAACTGATCCTTTCACATATCAATCCAACAGACAAAGCCGTAGTGACAAGATGGTTTAAAGCGAGCTGCTTTGAGGGATCCTGACACACTGTTAATGAATTAGATTTGTGACAGTGAAAAGGCATTTAAAGCAAAGAGGGTCAGAACTGAACTGTCATCATCAAAATGCATGTAATGATGACAGTTTTCAGTTTATAAAAACGGTCAAATAAACAGGATTTTAATAAGAGAAACAGAATTCTCTGCTGAAAAGACTGCCGTCAATTTTCATGCTGGTCTGGGCTGATTCATGCTGGTTTGGTGCTGGTCCAGTCGGTGGATCAGCACTGCCATGTTCCTCACAAGCAAAACTTGACGAGACTGGTCAACTAGTCTTTCTGGTGAAATTTTGCAGGTTAAGCTAGTCAAGAAACATGATGGTTACACTCGTACACCAGCACTCCATGCTTCACATACACTAGTGAACAGATATGCTGGTCTAAATAATAATCATCATCATCATCAGCATCATCATCCTCTAATGGGAAAAAATACTTAAAATGCCTCAGTAAAAACCTGTTACTTGGTTTCCTTACCATATATGATCATACATTACATTAAATTTAACAGGACACATCATTCATATTATATTATATTATATTATATATTATATTATTCCTGCAAATTTACTATAATGTTACTGGAAAATGATTTATGAAAGTATTATTTTAATAATAACAAATCAATCATAAACCTTTTAATTATAATATAATATAATATAATAATTACTGCACATTATTGTACTTTTACTGCAGAAATGGAAGTAATTTATAGTAATAATTATAATAAAAATAAGAATAATCATTTATTTTTATTATTTAAAATAATTTTACAAACAAATATATAAATAAATAATTAAAACTAAAATAAAACAAAACAAGGATGTTCTCAGAAGTCTTGGCATGGCACATCACTTTATATTTCAATTTACCCGTATTTATTGAAAGGCCTGTTTTAAATAATAATAATAATAATCATTTAAAATAAATTTAATGGGAAAGACTTTGGTAAAAACTTGTTAACTGATGAACTTTAATTCATCCTGTGTTCTGTTTTACCACAAAGTAGACTAAAGTATAGTTCAAGCTGACATTTTAACATTATATCAGTTAATGATATGAGCTGTTGAATATAAGGACACAAGTCTTTAGGTAGGTAATAAGGGCTGCTGTTCGGTTCTTGATGAACTCTGGGTTAATTCTCATGGTTTCTGATTCACAACGTGTCCGAAATTGGAGCATAGATTTATGATTTTCACTGTCATGTTTCCTGTTCCACTGGTCCTCCTCATGCTCAGTCAGGGTTGCTTTAATATGCCTGAAATCAACACAAACACTGGGAGCACTCGTGAGGTCCTGCGGCCCTATCAGTGTCCGTAGCGGCGGTCCTCAGGCAGGCACATGACTCCAAAACCCTCAGTCAAGCTACCGATTACACAAATGCTCCATGAGTCCAAGGCACATGTAACGCACAGCTCCGGTTTCCTTGACGACCAGCCTGACCAGCCGACTGCAAAGGCCAGTGTCTCTCTCTCAACTTCTCAGAAGTGTGGCCGCTGCCTTACTGCACACACCTACAGGTCAGCTATGAATCTCACTCAACAGGACCAAAAGCTTGACATTGTGTTAAGAAACCAGGGCGTAACAGACTCAACCTTCGAAGTAAGTGCCAAAAAATGATTTGAAATAGCTTGATCCTGAGGAAAACAAAAAGAGTCTTATCAATTGCTGTTTGTTTCTCGTCATCACATGTGTTTTAATGGAAAGCCCTGGAATTGTTCCTTGGGGCTTGTTTTGTCGGTTTTTGTCACTAGTTAGTGAATACATGTTATCTGAATGTGAAACAATACTAGTGTACATTGCTTTCTGGTGGATTATGGGTTAACCGTGGTTAATATATATCGGTGGTCATGCTTACTGAACAACAAAGTCAACATTTTACATAACTGTTGTAGTTCAAACTGGATTCCAAACTTCTAAGGATCATTTTCACATCATCATAACCATCTTGTCATTATGGAATTATATGAGTAATCTGAGAAGTTAATAAGGCTAACTTGTGGTCTTGAGAGGCCCCATATGAATGCTGGGCTTGTTGAGGTAATATTTAGCTGATGTTTTAGGGAAATTCTTGTTGCTACCACATGATGTATTATTAATATGCTTTATAATGCCAGTTTCTAAACACACATAACCACAAAATCAGATAAAACTGCATAAGAAGTTTCATTTTAAATCATACAGATTTCAATATGATGTAAGAGAATCATTTCATCAAGTATTTTTCTAAACATCCTTAAAATAAGATATGACGTTACTTTTTTTCTTATTGAATATTGTATCTTTTGACATAAAATATTTTAGTATAAATCTCAATAAATTTTACAAATAAAACCTGTTGATAGAATGAGAAAATGTTAAATAATAAAATCCTGATTGCAATAGAAAAATCACTTTTGTAAACAGTTTGTTTTCTAAAAATCCTTAAAATAAGACACTATTTTTTTATTACTTAATATTGTCCATTTATTGTAATAAAATCATATTTTAAAGTATAAACCTATGTAAATTATAAAATAAAAATCCATCCACTAGGGTGAGAAAAATAAACATAATAATTAAGGATATATTTTCTGAGAATAAATAAATTAAAATAACACACACACACACACACACACACACAATTTTATTTATTCTCTGAGAATACCTTTAATCGTTTAATTATTACGTTTATTCATAACATCTTACAAAATAACAAATGAATAAGCTCCTGTCTGTCATTTTGTATCATATGCTGTGGAGGAAAAGGCTGGTAAAGACCAGAGTAATTTAATGAGGGACTGAAAATTGATTTATAAAGGTCAAATGGCTTCAGGGGAAACAGTGAGACACCGTCTTATTGTTTCAGATAAACACGCCATTTTCTCACTTCATCCTATTCTCTGTTTACTTCCTTATGTGCAAAAATAGCCACCATAGTCCAACAACAACCAACCCTCCTCCCTCAACCAGCTTTTAATATTTTGCTGAGTTTTACAAAAGACCAGTCACTAGCATGTTAAATTTCTTGTCATGAGTAATTAAAAACTTGATTAAACATTTGCATAAAATCTGCAAACCTACACAGTGCATAACAACATGTGAGTCACTCTGGCTGACTGAAAATTGATTTATAAAGGTCAAATGGCTTCAGGGGAAACAGTGAGACACCGTCTTATTGTTTCAGATAAACACGCCATTTTCTCACTTCATCCTATTCTCTGTTTACTTCCTTATGTGCAAAAATAGCCACCATAGTCCAACAACAACCAACCCTCCTCCCTCAACCAGCTTTTAATATTTTGCTGAGTTTTACAAAAGACCAGTCACTAGCATGTTAAATTTCTTGTCATGAGTAATTAAAAACTTGATTAAACATTTGCATAAAATCTGCAAACCTACACAGTGCATAACAACATGTGAGTCACTCTGGCTCAGGGAAGCGGGAAGTAGGGGTGCTGAGGGGGCTGCAGCACCCCCTGTTTTCACATGGTTGCAAATGCAACGCCAAGTTTGTTCATTTAATTAAATTTATTCAGTTTTAGCATTTAATAATTTATTTGTAATGATCTCTGAAATGTAAACGATATGTCGATACTTCGGATCGATACGCCCATCCCTACTATACAGAATGCGAACAAGATTAACTTTAATACAAGGAGATAATGGCGCAAAAGCGAATTTCAGATTTTTTAAAATGCCCATCCCAGCAAAAACTTTCCAAAATCGACATCCAGCACGAGCACGGAAGCCTAGCGGACCCAGCCCAACCCCCCAGATTGATCAGCTACTATCGATAATTTCAAAAATGTGATATGCAGTCAAATTTCCCAGTGTGTATCCCCGCCCCCCTTTCACCCAACACGGACACACACAGCACCCCCAACCGAAAACATCTTCCCGCGCCCCTGCTCTGGCTGCTGTGAAATAACACAAATGACTTAATTTAGCATTATATTTAGTAAAATAAATAAATAAAAATACTTAAACTTCTAGGCTAAGCCAGTAGAGGTGTCCATGTCAAGTTTACCAAGGTGGATCAATCCATGACCATGTCCATGAGTCAGATAGAACCGATGCCTAAAAATGCAACTACCACTAGGAGGCGGTAGCCGCTATGTAAACCACAGATATTTGCAGAATTTGTTTACTGTATGTAAAGCCTTTAACAACATTAACAACTATGTATTTATATCCTTAATGGTGGTTTTTATGTCTTTGAATTGACTTCTTGACTGGCACAATTTAACATCACAGCTTTATCCTGAAGCATGACTGTGTTTACATATACAACAACAGTTGAGTGGATTTAAATGCCACACTTACACGAAGATGATCGTTTTTTGGGAAAACAGACTGGAGGGGCTTATAGCCTAAGTTCTTTCAACACCCACACGATATCGATATGAAGCAGTAACGTTAGGTGGCAGTATAAACCGTTCAGAAAAGCCCCGTGCGTTGAGTGCCCGAGGCGGCGTTGCTCAGGTAAACATGGTGTAGGCCTATTTCATTTAATGAGTTCAGTAGCATTAATGCCAAATTCACCCCCTGGACCTCAGCCAGACAGAAGGTGGTATGTAGGTTTGAGTGTAGTGTAAATTCCTTAGTCATAAATCACACGTCTTCACATTCAAACAACTCTGAGAACACAGCATCCACACATTTCCTTAACAGTTAGACGCATTTCATTCTCAAGACAGTGACTAGGTAGTACGGTATGTTTGCCAAACTACATGCTGATACGTTGCTGTAAAATCATTTGGACATGTTTGTGACATTAATTAGGTACTAATAAATCATAAAAAGTAGCTATGTATCAATCTGTGTGGGGCTGGACTAGTTGAGGATATTAATTCATTGATCAAACGTCTGAATAAGCTGTTTGTCTGTTTAGCGTTCTTTCTTTCTTGCTTTCTTTCTTTCTTCTATAAATCAGTTTATCTGTATGTTGCTAGATAACCAGCTGTGTCTATTTAGCTATCTAGTTGTTTTTTCCATCTAGCTGTTAAGTATCTATCTATCTATCTATCCTATGTCTGTTTGTCTGTCTGTAAAAGCTGGAAATTCATCTGTCATCATTTACTCACACTGATGTTGTTTTAAATCCATATGTCTTCCGTGGAAAACAGAAAAAGATGATGTTATTCAAACAGCCTCAGTCACCATTTATTTACTGTTGTTGCATGTTTTTTCCCCCCATTCAATAACAGAAATGGTGACTGACACTGTCATTCTGCCAAAATCATCTTTTGTGCTCCACAGAAGAAAGAACGTCATACAGGTTTGGAATGGCATGAGGGTGAGTAAATGATGACAGAAGTTTAATTTTTGGTGAGCAAAGCCATCATCAATCTCACATCATCATAGTGGCTTGCTTGTTCACACATGAATGAATCCTTATTCCTTAATTTTAAAGAAATTATGTTTTGAATTTGAACTGAGGACATGTAGCTCATGAAAAGAAAAGAAAAGAGGAATCCCTTTAAAATTGTGCATGCTTACATATGCGCTGGACCATGTAACACATTAAAACAAGTCACTTGTTTGTTGTATCGTATATCCCCCATGAGGTGCTCTGTCCTGGTTTTTCTTAACAGCAGATCAACCACAGACCGAACATTGTTTAAAAGGCCCATTATTTGCTGATAAGTGCTCATTTAAATGAACTTCTCAATGAGCAAGAAGCACAAGAAAAAAAGGGTGAGTCATGAAGATAGAAAGGAAGGCCATACCTCCTAAAAAATAATTAATAATAAAAAATAATAATAATGCATAAATATATAATTTTCTGACACTAGTGAATACATTTTCAGAGGGAGGTTGTGTCTCTATTTAGACCAGTGTAAAAAGTGTTCAATTTAATGAAACTTCATTATGACTTGATTTTAGTTAACAAAAACTAAAAAAATGTTTTATTGGTACTGGTTGCTTGTTGAAACATCAAATAGAACATGTTGCTGAGAAGAGTGTGAGAAATGTTAATTAGAATTATATTTATTTCTTTCAATACTGAAAATATGTTTAATTTTATTAAATAAAATAAATTCGACTAAATTAAACAAGAAAATAACATTAGGTTATTAGTATTAGGTTAACCTGCAGTTGTTACCTTAAAGAGTTATTTCTACATCATAACTAGGGTTGTAAATGGGTGCTAAATTTCCGGAAACTTTCCAAAAATCCCTGGAATATTCCAAAAAATACTGGAAAATTTCCAAAATTTCTGGAATATTTCCTACATTTACTGGAAATCTTCCACCTTTTTGCAACCTTAATCATAACCCATAAAAATGAGTTTTGCTTGTATAGATTAATTTATTTTAAGGTCATTTATCTATATTAAATATAACCAGTTATTAAATATAACCAAATATAATAAAACCAGTTAATATACATGATAATCTAGAATGTTTAGACATTGCAGGTCTCCGTATCTTGTTTCTCGAAAGGATTTAGTGGTCACTGTCCTTTGCTCTCTCAATTAACCTCAATCCTGAGTCTCCTAGAGTATGTTGGAATAATCTCCACTACCCTCAGATTTCAGATGGCAGCCATGACCCTGAGAAGACCGTCATTGCTGACCCCCGTGCCGAGAGTCTGGAAGAGGGTCTGGACTCGAGGCCTGAAGGCAACCTTATCTACTCCATCAACGATCGCCCACCCTGGTACCTCTGCATTCTTCTGGGTTTCCAGGTGAGAGACGACATGCGACAAATGCGGCTTAACCCCTGCTACACTTGAAGCGTCTTAAAGCACACATCTCATAAGTGGACAGGTCTCTCCTGATTTAAACTACTGACACAGGGGACCTTTAATGGCCTTTTAGGGTTAAACTGACAGCTTGACAGCTTCCTCAGTGCGTGCCAAGAAAAAGTGTGTGTGTAATCATCTAGGTGGGAGAGTTGCCTTGAAGGGCAAGATCAGGGTGACTAAAGATAATGTTTAACCCCTTAATACCCAGGAATACTGCCCTGACACTTGATCACATCTCACAGATCCACTTATTTTATACATAGCCAGTCTTTTTTGGGTGTAGAGAGGAAACATTGCGCTAATCACCTATTTATTGTTTACATACAATGGGGCTAATTTCATTGACCCCTTGACTTCAGTTGCTTTTTTTGTCTTCATTTCAAAGTAAAATTAAATACGAACCTAAGACGTATTTACACTGCAAGTCCGCAAGTCGCCTAATTTGCTTGCAGTGCTTAGATGCTTAAAATGGGAGTATTGAAACTGTCGCTTTCTAGTAGATGTTCCTACTAGGAATGGGGATTATCATGTATTTCATGATCGATTCCAATTTATAAGCTTTCATTTTTAGATGAACTATGCCTTTAAGGTCCATTCACACCAAGAACGAAAACTATAACAATATATAAATTAGTGTTCATTCGCCCTACTGTAATGTTTATTCTAAGAGCACACTGCAGCTTTAAGGTTTACCAACTGAAGATATATAGCTCTGAAAGGGATTCCAACGTTATCTTCCCTCTGTGCTGTTATAGTTGTGCCATTGTCCCCACAATTGTCTTAAGTTGCAGTCATATTGGCAAAATATCTGTGAAATTTTGCAGCCAAAAAATTATCCACTGTCTATTGTCAATAGTGTAGTGATATATGAAGTACAGCTCACACAGAAGTTCCTTTCAAACCAAGCAGTTTTCTCTTGGTCAACATAGCAAATTCATGTGACCAACTTGAAAACTTGAACTTCTTCCCGATACTCCCAATTCTTATTGAAATGACTGGATTTCACCCGCAAAATCACCCGGCAAATGTGACCATACCTTTAGAGCTGAAGTGATTTTTTAAAACGTTTTGGTTATAGTAAAAGTTCTTGGCCTTCACAGTTTCCATTTTACAACTTTGTTGCATCGCCACTGGTCTCTTTCACTCAAAACCTCCAGTTCTCATTAAAACGAATGACTTCTGCTTGCTTTGACGCTTGAAATCACCATGAGCGCCTCAAGGCTTTGCTGCCACTCTAGACGGTGTTATTCCTTATTATATGCATCTGATGTTTAAGGTGAGGGGAACATGAGCCAAAGTGTTCCACTTATTCGTCCACATGACACATGGAGATCAAAGACAACTGGGTGGGAGGAGAGAAAGGGCAGGAAGGTACACAAGGGACTCGCATCGACATGTGAGGTAAGATGATGTGCCGAGCGCAAAGAGGAGTACAAAGAAGAAGCCTCACTCCTCCAGCACGCTCGCTTTCATCTCTCCGGTGTCACGGAAGGGAGGAAAAAGCAGGTAGAGACCTGGTATTTCATGTCAGCGCAGACTCCCTTAGAGCCCCCGACTCGTTTCTGCTTTCATTACCAGTGTTTTCATAATAATACAATCCCTCTAGTGTCATGAAATGAAGTTCAATTCAAAACAGTTTTGCCCGCTCTACTTGACTTCTGGGGAAAGGAAGCTGTGAAGGCATAAACCAGAACTGCTGAAAAACAGTAAAACAACAGGAATTTAAGTGTGGACAAATGAATTTATTTCCCTGTTTCTCCTGCTGTGTAAATTCTCTCCTGTGCATCATCTCTGTATCCGCACAGTAATCGCCTGTCAAAGATGCTGAGCGTTCAGCCAAGTTTTACTTTTTCTGAGCCCGACAAATTTATGAAGCTTACTGCTGAGAGTAAAAAGGGCTATCAATTCACAACAGACAGGCCAACATCTGACTTCCATTTTTTGCACGTCTCCCTGGCTCAGTCAGGCCACATTTAAGATTTGCAACATTTTTTGTGATCATCTGTCTTCCCTTGTGTCTCGCCCCTTATAACGGGTTGTTTGCGATGAGCCCAAGCCCGGTGTCATCGTGTTAGCTATTCATTCCTGTTTCTTGCGTCACACAGCATTACATACTGGCATTTGGTGGCATCCTGGCAATTCCTCTCATCCTAGCCGAGCCGTTGTGCATCAAAGAGAACAACGCTGCCAAAAGTCAGCTCATCTCCACCATCTTCTTTGTCTCGGGCATGTGCACTTTGCTACAGACCACCCTCGGGACCAGGTACTGGGATAAATGTTGCTCAAAGTGTGAATTACTGTGTATACATACGCTGCCAGCAGAAAAAGTGCAAACATTTACCTTGAGTTCATATTGGTTCATAATTGATTCTGCTATTTTCCGGTTTATCACTATGAAGCTGCTCTATTCTATAAAGCTCTATAGAAATAAAAGTGACTTAATGTGATTTGATTAATACACAACCTAAAAAATAAATTTTGAAGAAAGTTTCGACTGGTTTCACAAACATTATTAAACATCGAGCCCCAATGACTTTCATTGTATGGAGAAATCACATTTATTTTATATAGATAGCGCTTCATACAATACAGATTGTTTCATAGCATCTTCACAGAAATAAACAGGAAAACAGCAGTGGTGTAACATTTCTACTTCAATTCTAGTACGTCGTTCCTGTAACTCAAACAGTCGAGCATGGCACTAGCAATGCCAAGGTCATGGGTTCGATTCCCTGGAAAAGCAATGTGTAAAATATATGTGAATGCAATGTAAGTCTCTATAGATTTTAGTGTCTGCCAAATGCATAAATGTAATCTAAAAATCTAAATTTCAGCTCTACAGAAGACATTTGTCATTATTCAGGTCAAGTCAGTTCAATTGACCCTTCGCAAAATACACACCACACCACACGGAAAGACGTCAATAATGATTTTGACTTCTGACTTTACATGTTCAAGTCCACCGACGTTAATCTACTCTCCTGTCTGGTTTGCTTGTCGGACAAAATGGTACATTCTGCGTTATGATTGGTCTGACTGCCTGTCACTCAAACTCCCTGCAAAGGGTCATTTGTAGTGTCAATGTTACATCAGTTACGAAACAAATTTTATTTATCTATAAAGCAGCTCTAAAGAAGACAGGTCATACAGGTTTGAAACGACATGAGAGTGAGTAAATAATGACTGAATATTATTACCTTAAAATCATTCTGGCTCTGGTCTTTTTCAGCCAGAACATTTGCTTTTAATGATTTTTATGAGATCTATAATTCAAAGAAAGGAATATTACATTGTTTTCTATGACTACTGCCAATGCTTTTATGATAATACATAAAATAGTCTTGACGCAAAATAAATATCCTTTACATATTCTCAGGTTGCCGATCCTCCAAGGAGGGACGTTCACCTTCATCACTCCGACTTTAGCTATCCTCGCCCTTCCCAAGTGGAGATGCCCAGACACAGGTGCCACCCCTCACCCTAATGCCACAGATTCTGCAGCGCTCTTAGTGGATGATGATGAGGTGTGGAAAGTCCGCATCCGTGAGGTACTGTAGGAAATGTAATTTCAAAGCTGATCAAAATAATTGCAGTGTTCACTTTTTGCTGGAGTTTGAAACAAGCGTGGCTGTTCTGAGCTGTGAGTCATGTGTCAGAAGGAAATGTGAGTCACCAGCGACCGACGGACGATAATGATCCATTTTGTGCTCAAATTACACATTCGTATGCACATGGAAAGTGCAAACATACATTTTTGTGAGTTTTAGAGACTTGCATATCTTTACGAAGCCTGGTCTGAAATGAAATTGCTGGAAGCTTTGTGAGCAAGTTCAATCCTCAACGATACTTTCATTGAACTTTTTTTTTTTTATGCATTGGTGGATGCTTTTATTCAAACCAACTTTCAAGATATGCATTTCATCAATTTATGCATTCCCTGGAAATCAAACCCATGATTTTGGTGTTGCTAGCGTCATGCTCTAATGTTTGCAATACAGAAATGTTTTAAAGACCTTTTAAATGGCAAATTCTTGTGGAGCTCACAAGAATGATATACAAGAAAAACTCTGTTGATTTGTGTACACAGTAGAGTGAAAAATTGTGGCGTCATTAAACATGTTGAATTAATCTACAGTAAATACAATACAATTTATAAAAGCATTCATAAACATTTGCACGTCTATAAAGATGTTCATATCTAGAAAGGTTTGTTTTAGAAGCTGCCAATACATTTCAGTAATGTACAAAAATGTATGTAAGAATGCTACTAATACTAATGAGATCATGTTGAACTATAAGTTGTCTGCTCATTTTAAATAATGAGTGTCTAATGTAAGATTGTATCATTTATTTTTATTACTGTAATAAGTTTACCTTTTTAATCTCAGGTTTTGAGAGCAGCTCTTGTCTTGAATGAGAGGAAAAACTATAATATTTAATATCTTCATGACCAAATATTTGCACTCAAGGGCATTTTGAGCTTTAAGGTACATTTTGAGTCATATTGTAAAAAAAATATATTGGTGTTCTCTGTATCAGGAGACTTTTCTGCTGTATTTACATTACAAGTTGTTATTTTTTTATTGTGTAATTCAGATATAATAATAGTTCAAAGATTTTCATGGCAAAAACAAATTTATTTATTTTGATGAACAAAAAAGTCAGCCTGCACAATTTAACCTCCCTCCCTTCCCCAACAAATTAAAAACCTGACCTGTTGTTTCAGATTAGAAAATTGTTTAAACATGGCAAGAAAAATAAAATTGCTTAATGAATAAACAACTCTTCTTCTCTTTCCGTAGATCCAGGGGGCCATTCTAATGGCCTCAATGCTTCAGCTTGTTCTGGGCCTGTCGGGTCTCGTGGGGCTAGTGTTGAGGTTCATCGGGCCGCTGGCCATTGCTCCCACCATCAGCCTCATAGGGCTGTCGCTCTTCATCCAGGCCGGGCAGAAGTCAGGAGCCCACTGGGGAATTGCTGCTTTGTGAGTTACTGTGGAGTTATGGGTAACTTTGCGAGCTGAGTCAATACAGTAATTTGTATTTCTGATGGTGTAGGACTTCTGCAGATGTAATGCAAGACCCCTTTAAAAACAAAACATCCCTCAGGGTTGAGCGTTTATCTGTAAAGATCATCCCTCTTTACTGTTTTCATTTACATGATAATACATCGCTCAGATCCTTTGCTGAAAAATGTTGTTCATTACTCATCCTCAAGCATTCCTAAGAGAATACATTAATGTTGGTAAGGTTTGAGCGTCTCGCCCCTCAGACGCTCCCTGTCCAGGTGCCTCTGAGTAAACAAAGGTTTAAGGCACATATGTGTGTCAGAGACTCATTAGGACACATAGTAAACTTCTCATCCTAAACCCTGTAAATTAGATTCAGATTGTGGCTTCTAGCAGCATTAATTGGTGTACATGGTGTACATGTGTGTGTTTGTTTTTTGTTTGCATGTTTTTTTTTTCTTTTCTTTTTTTTTTGCTGATATGCTTTCATTTGAAGTTCATTGCTATTTAATTATAAAAGCAGTTGCTATGAAGATGAGAATTTTAAATGAAATATCACATTAAAACAAATCCTTAATCATAATCCTATTCCTCATTCTAGTCCAGTGCTTAATCTGATCCTCACTAATCTTAAACCTCTACTACAACATATACAGTGTAGAACCCTTTGTTGCTGAAGTGAATCTGAAAAATTCAATCAAATTATATCCGATTTTAAACTATGCCTTGGTTACAGACAGTTTGTAGGTTATTTACATTTTGTTCTTGAAGGTAAGGTTACATTTAACATTTAAGATTACATTTCAACCAGGGTTTAAACGTGGCGGATACTTGAAAAGAATTAGACTTTTCTTTGGTAAATCTACGAAACAGATAAAGAAATAGACTAAAAGATTAAAATGACTGTGATCCGAATTATGATTTTAGGTTATTTTAAAAGGAAGTGTGTGTGTGTGTGTGTGTGTGTCATACTTCATCTTTTACTTTTTTATCACATATATACTTTTTTATTGTCAAGTTGTGTGTATTTTTTATACAGGATACTTAGGGTTTTTTCCTCACCCATAGTATTGATTCTTGGTGAGTTTATTAACATGAATGATAATGCTAATTAAGTATAATTCATGTAAGTCTGTAATGATGTCTTCTTTCTACAGAACTGTTTGCCTGATCCTTCTCTTCTCCCAGTATTTGAGCAAAGTAAACCTTCCTCTCATTGCTTATAAGGACAAGAAGTGGAAAGTCTTCCAGTACCCTCTCTTCAAACTCTTTTCTGTGAGTGTATTTTTTTATTTGTATTATATCATAATTATGTCTGTATAATGTAATTGCGTAGGTATATCTACTGTGGGAACCGAAGGTCTGAGGCCACTAGAGAAAATACTTCAGTGTTGCTTTTCAAATTGTCATCACAAATGATATAATAGCATAACAATTTGAGTGAAAAATTAACTTGAATTTGTACATTTCCTAGTATTGTATATGTCCTCATTTTATTTTAGTGACCGCATGTTTTTGAGTCCTTCAGTAAAATCAGTGACCTAGAAATAGTGCAGAAACTTTCTTATTCAAAAATGTCTTATTCATTTTATGATGTAGTTTAAAATGTTTTAAAAACCTAATTTCCAGGTTGAAATGGGATTTAAAAAATGTCCCAATGTGATTATGATTGAGGTCTCAAACTTTATATATGTTATACAATTATCTCATATAATTGTCAGGATCACTAAAACAGATTATTTTAAGTAAACAATAGAAATAAACATATGGAACAGTTAACAATATTATGCTAAACGTTGATATACATATGATGCATTTGCAAGATTTCCACCTTAGTCTGTGAACTAGTCAAATGGGAGTTCTGAAGTATTTTTGTGTATACAGTCTGTGAAGATCTTGTCAAAAGAGTTGTGGGAAGAGTTAAACTGAAAATAATAGTTTCAAGTCTTGTTGGTTTGAAGTGTTGGCAAAAATCGAGAAATGCCCCAGGGCTAAAGCTTTGCTTGTCACATTTTACATGCTACAGATAACAAAACAATTGCTAGCATCGTTAACCTGAGCCACTGACATTAATTGGCATGAAAGTAAGCCAATAAATCCAGCCTTTAAAGTCTAACCTTTAAAAAGGAGAAAGAGAAGTTTATGTATGTTGTGTTTAATGTACAGGCTTTATTTGGGATGTGTGGAGCCTGGCTGGTGTGCTTCCTGCTGACATATTTCAATGCCCTGCCCTCATCTCCAAATGAGTACGGCTACATGGCCAGGACAGACATCAATCTTAATGCAGTAAAAAGTGCTGCATGGTTCTACGTGCCTTATCCAGGTGAACCTCCTTAAACTATACAGCAATTAACATAAATTTTTTAAAAATTTAGCAATTTTGTCATTGTCATTATTGTTTTACCCTTGTTTCAGACCCATAATTTCACACTTTAAAAAATATTTATCATATTGTGTTGCATACATTTCTCAATTTATATATATATATATATAGAGAGAGAGAGAGAGAGAGAGAGATAATACGTAAAAATATCACTTTCAACATTTATTTTTACACATTATGACAATGAAAAGCATGCTTGAGATGACAAAAAAAAAAAAAAAGATAATATCAACAAGTTAAATAAGGATAAGTTAAATGCTAAATATGATTTTAGCTTTCGTAAAAAAAAATTTTTTTACAAAAACATTTTTCCAAAAATGTTTAAAATGTTTCTATTACAGAATTCTATCTGACAAAAACAAGTTGCAATGTCGTGGAAATGAGATTTCAGAAAAAAAATTTGTTTTAATAGAGATTATTGTCTAAAATCCACAGGGCCAAAAATTCCCATAGTTTAAAAAACATGCATATCTATTATCTCTTATCTGTAAAAATTCCAGATGAAATAATCAAATGAATCTTATCATGAATTAAAATACCAAAAAAAAAAAAAAGACAATGGACAGTTTGATGCAAAGATATATGGTTTCCCTGGAACTAAAAAAAAAACATCTGGCATTTATGAATAATATATGCCACATGAATACCTATTTTCATAGTCGATGAGCATGAACGTTAACTGTTTCAACAGTACTGTCAAAGCTGGTTCCCAGGTGCTGTTTGCCAGCTGTTTTTAAAAGACGTATCTGTTTAAAGAAGAATGAGCCATCTTGAATGGCAGTGTTTCTTTCAGAATCCAGAGATGAGAGATACGTCTGCTCCAGGGGCATTGGTGATAAAGTGACATGAATGGGGCTCTTCTAGTTCATCCTGAAGAAGATTTAACAACTGTCATTCACAGTGAAACATAGTTTGCTTTGCTTGGGTCAATTCTCACCCATAAAGGTGTGGTGTATTAATGTCTGTGACACATGCGGCAGTCAGGCTTATGATTCTTCACATCTGTTTCAGCTTTTTGCTCAGTTTCATCTCCTTTCAATGGTTCTGTTGTATTAAGAAATGCTTTCAACACCCAATGCCCCTCTGCTATGAATCAGCTAGCAAATACAGGTGCATCTCAATAAATTAGAATGTCATGGAAAAGTTCATTTATTTCAGTAATTCAACTCAAATTGTGAAACTCGTATTAAATAAATTCAATGCACACAGACTGAAGTAGTTTAAGTCTTTGGTTCTTTTAATTGTGATGATTTTGGCTCACATTTAACAAAAACCCACCAATTCACAATCTCAACAAATTAGAATACTTCATAAGACCAATAAAAAAAACATTTTTAGTTTCCACGACATTCTAATTTATTGAGCTGCACCTGTATATGTGTTTGAAACAGCTTTAGGTTTCCATCACTTTGCACAGCATCCCATTTGAGTTCTTTAGATAAAGCCCGTAAGTTGTACCACCCGGAGGCTTCCATGTTGGGGAATGTGGTATTATAATCTTCAGATAGATAATACAGGTTTGACTGCATCAGTGTCTGAATGTTACTGAGTGCAATTCATCATTTCGCTTAACCCACTTAAATCCCTTGAGACATCTATGAGCTTCGGGCTGATATATGAGAATGAAGAAGCATGAGCCTCACGTTACTGTGTACACTTTACACTATATGCTCCTCTCAGCCATCCACTTTGAATGATAGCAGATGTCTTTTGAAGCCATTGATCTGTGAAAATACTGAATAGTGTAGATATTTTATTCTGGATAACTTTTGGATAGATTCTTTATTTATAGTGTACTATAAATGTTTACTGTAGTGTATTAAAGGGGTCATATGATGCGATTTAAATTTTTCCTTTCTCTTTGGAGTGTTACAAGCTCTTGGTGCATAAAGAAGATCTGTAAAGTTGCAAAGACTAAAGTCTCAAATCCAAAGAGATATTCTTTATAAAAGTTAAGAGTCAACCACGCCTACCTAAAACGGCTCGTTCTAACACGCCCCCACATGTCTATGTCACGATGTGGGAAGATTTGCATAACGCCGCCCAAATGTTCACGCAAAGAAAGAAGTATTGTTGCCGCCACCGCCATGCCATGGAGACGCTGTGTGTTTCGTTGTGAAAGCGAAACTACTTTGGTTGGCCTTCCAAAAGAGGACGATATCCGCTTCGTCATGCCTGGAGCTGATCTGTGCTGGTCGCTGAAGAAATACATCAACTTCGCGCTGTCGATCGCC